GCATAGGGACTGATAAGGCGCGAGTTCCCTCTTTATGGTGATACACTCCTCCTTCCGGTTCATTTTTGGATTTCTGGTGCTAATTAGCGCGCTAATTTTATTGTTAACAACCTTGGGTTTCCGCTCAGTCAATCTAGTACGAGTATCTCGAGGTGATTCACCACATTCGCACCTCTTTGTTGATCTTGTACAACTTTGTCGAACGTCTTGAATGTCAAATCTCAAAACTTACTGCGCCATGAATTCGAATATTTATTGTAACGGCCCTCTATATATAAACGAACAAACTGCAAGGACCAACGAATAATAACAACCAACATAGTGGCATTGTAAACAAAACATTTATATTGGCTATACAAAAGGAAGAACTTCAAATGAGAAATCATACACAATGGCTTCATTCAATTAGGACGCGCAGACTGCTCGTATTCTTGATACATAGCAAAACAAACGTTGTTTGAATTCAAGTTTAGACCAGTGATGGTAATCATCGAAAACGCGCAAAAGATGTTATGAAAATAGCAAAAATTTTTGGAAGCATGTGTAAAAAGTGCTGAGATCACGCGGTAAAACCGCGACTGCTCCCAGCAAGTACCCAGAACGACGAAGAAAGATATAATCTGTTCGAAACGACTGAATACTTAGAACTCACCCTATTACCTAATCGTCCTTCTCCATTGGCTCCTCGTCTGGCTGGATTCTCTCCTCTTCGCCCATGGCTTCGTCCGCGTCGTTGTTCTCGTGCACCTCCTCATGCGCAGCGCTCGTTTCTTTGGCTTCCGGCTGATCTGGACTCTTTTCACGGTCGTCCTCGTCGCCGCTACGTGAATGACTGCGATCACGATTCCTCCTAATCGATACTGTGGCGTCTTTGGAATTGCCAGCTTCCGTATCGTTGGATTCGGCGGTGTTTTGCTCGTGATGTTCTTCGTCAACATTATTCTCCAGCTCACGCTCAAGCTCTTTCTGCCGCAGTTCCATAAGACCTGAAATTATCGGTCTACAACGCGGAACTCCCTCTAGCTTGAGAATAGAATGACAATGAAATTGCCTCTAGCATAAAAACATTGATACTATGAGCTGAAGACTGAGACTCCGAAGAATCCTAAAACTTTGACACAGTATAACAGTGGGCCCCTAGCTACTTAATCGTCGAACTCCCGCTGCAAAAGATGAGTTTCGAAGCCAGAAAAACCTTCCAAAGGTAAAAGCGGGCCAGGTAGCTCCGCCCATAAAAGTGGGTGGTAGCTATTGAGCTCGAAAGCGTGCTTCAGGGTAGCAAGGACATCAAAAATCCAAAAATGATCATCATAAAGGGCGGATTCATGACACCTCTGAATACATTGAAGAAGGATTTAGGTTTTTTAGGAACAGGATTTTTTCAACTTCAGACCATCTGGGTTGATGGGCGGAGCTACCTAGATCGCTTCTACCATCAGTAGCGTTTTTCTCGCTTCGAAACTCATCCTTCGCAGCGGTAGTTGGGCGATTAATTAGCTAGAGGCCCGCTTTTATGATGTATCAAAGTCTAAACCTCATTTTGGGTGGACGGTGCCATTACGGTCCAATAATGAGATTAAAAAGTTTCCGAATTGCAAAAAGATTGCTTCGTTATAAGATAAAAAAAATTCAGCTCTAGTAATGTAACACAGTAAGGACCACTGGTACAGAACAATGCAATGAAAAACGGAAAAGAACATACCATCAATGGCCTTTTCGGAAGCTTTCAGCAGTTCGAGCGAGCGCATCGAATGTTTGGCTGGTGCGAAAAATAGTGTAGGTTTCGTTTGCGTCTGGATAAAGTTGCGCAGCAGCTTGTAATGCTCCTTCTTTGCCTCCGCCTGCAAAATGCTAAATTCACAGAGCGCCAAATATAGACCAAGCCCACTCACATATTGGATAAGTGCCTTTTTACGCTGCAGTGCGCGCAATTCTTTTTCTTGTTCACGACGCTCATCGAATAATTTTTGACGTTCAGCCATAATCTGACAAATAAAATGGTTAGAAGAACAATGTCTGATAAAAGTAAACCCAATTTCTGAGATTGAATACCTTTTCGCGGTCTTCGCGCTTCTTGTCTTCGAGCCGCTTTTCAACTTCTTTGTACTTCTCTGCCTGTAAAATTGAATATTAGCTGAAAAAGACCATGAAGAAAGATGACAAAAAGCACATACTTGAATCTTTTCTACATTTTGTATCTTCTTCTCGTCTTTTTGGAAACGAGTGAGCGTGCCCATGAGGAGGTTCGAGAACATACGACGGTTTCTGTAAACAATGCAGTGCCTGATAAAGTTGTAGTGGAAGGTAGTGATAATTTCATGTTATTGCGAGAAATAAATTAGTGGACAATAAAAAAAAGGATATAAAAATCCTTCAAAGCATGTGCACTTGCAACTCAATTGTAACATACCTAGTGGTTACTTCTTTCTTTTCATTTTTAGTCATTTCCTCGATTTTCTCCTCGCGGCTCTTCGTTTCGATAGATGGCATGACTACCGTTGATGCTAATGTCCTAAAACGAATGCATAAGACAACTAATTAGGCGCAACACAGCGACTATACAAGAATTCAATGACTGGATGATATCTAAAATTTACCTTTTTGGACGGATATCGCGATCATCTTCGTCTTCCATCTCGTCGTAATCCAAACGTTGCCGCTTGCCTGGGCGTTCATCGCTGCGCACCATTCTAGAATCATACATTTAAATGTGGTTCTACACTACGGAATTCATGCATGCCATCGTGTGCTTTCATCAATAGATAAAGATATACACAAAATGGAAAGTCTAAGTTTAGATTTGCAAAAAAAGAGGGCATAGGTTATCCTGAGCTTTGCGTCTTGTGGATATTTGACCCAATTTCTCCATGCAAGGAATTCTGCAGACTAGTCGGCGTTATATCACATTAGTTGACCCAAAAAATGAAAATCCTGAAATTCGC